GAAAGAGATGTACTAATCAAAAGTCATTTTAAGTATGCGTGATTATCAGTAAAGCTCCTAGTGCAGGGAGTTTTAATCTCCACGTTGTGATATCGAGCTGAAAAGGAGTCTAATATGTGGTATGGTCCCCTCTCACAGTTAGACAAGTCACGAGGAGTCTCTGTGGCAGTCGATCCCATTACTGCAAAAACGCAGTTTAAACTCCGGGTTTTCAGAGGAACATGGAGAGATGAAATTTCTCACCCAAGAGTGTCCCAGACATGTTCTATAGGATTAAGGTTAGGAGGTCTAGTTGGCCAATCCATTCGGCGAATACCCTCAATTTCCAGGTAATCGTTGACCAGCTGAGCCCTATGTGGTCGAGCGTTGTCGTCCATTAACAGGATCTCAGGACCAACTCCGCTGCTGAAATGTCGAACATAGGTTTCTAAAATCTCCTATCGATATCTCACAGCAGTCAGGAAGACTTTATCGAACACATACAAGGACTGTTCGGCCGTTCAACATAGTGCCTACCCAAACTATTGCACTTCCACCACCGTAATGATCCTTTTTCCTGATAAGAGAGAAAGAATGTCGTTTCCCAGGCTCTCTCTAGACGCCAATACGCCAGGAATCAGCGTCCAGGCTGAATCTTGACTCATCTATAAGAAGCACGGGGCTCCATTGACGTCTGATCCAAGAGGCATGTTGTCTGCACAATGTTAAATGCACTCTTTTGTATGCTGCAGAGAACGGGAAGCAAACAACGGGTTTTTTTACGTACAGTCCTGTCATTTGATGCCTTCGGGCAATTGTAGAAAGTGAAACTCCGGTTACAGTGGCAACTATACCTCACATAAGAGCTGAAAATCTGTAGCAGTTTCGTAAGCGTATCATTTCTGCTAATGTCTATATTGCCATGTAGGATAACACACGAGTATGTATAATCATTAATTGTCATTTTTCGCATTAATACACAATTCAATGTATCAGTTTTATTAATGTATAGGTGTTAAAGGTTTCATTTCTAATAATGTATACATAGCTATGTAGGATAATTTATGTTCATGTATTTTTATTAATCGTCATCTTTCATATTTATCCACAAGTACCATCTTCAGTGTGACATTTCTAGTATTAATGTTTAAGTGTAGCACTTCTACTAATGTATATATAGCACGTAGGACGATATGCGATTATGTGTAAATATTAAATGTCATCTCTCGCAATGATGCACAGGCATTACACTCAGTGCAACATTTCTGTCAACTTACAGGTGCATAAAATGTCTTATTTCTATTCATGTACGCATAGCGCAGTAGGATAATACATGATTATGTGTTATCATTACTTGTCATCTTTCGTATTAATGTGAAAATATCATTGTCAGTGTACCATTTCTATTAATGTATAAATGCATCATTTACCATGTTATAAATGTATATTAATGTATAAGTGTATCATTTCTATTACTGTATGTATAGCCACTTAGGATGATACACGATTACGTGTTACCATTATTCTTCATCTATCGTATAATGTACAAGTGCCATTTTCAGTATTTCATTTCCATTACTGTATAAGTGTTTAAGTGTATCATTTGTACTAATATATATGTATAGCCAAGTAAGGTAATACACGAATATGCGTAACTTTTAATTGTCATCGTTCACACTGATACACAATTTTCATTCTCAGTGTATCATTTCTGTCAACGTATAGGTGTGTATGTATCATTTTTATTGATGTGTGTATAGTCCAGTAGAATAATGTATGATTATGTGTTTTCATTTATCGCCATCATTTGTATGTGTTTATGCATATCATTTCTAGTAGTTTTATGTATAGTCATATAGGATGACACACGATTACGTGTATTCATTAATTATCATCTTCTGCATTATTGCGCCAGTTGCGTCAGTGTTTCATTTCTTTTAATGTATAAGTGTTTATTGTTTGCCTATCTCATTAACCCCTTAGATCCAATGTACCTATACCACCAATGTACCTACGTATGAAACTTTTTATTAATTGTATACTGAAGCATATATATGCACACGCCCTTGTTTGGCCACGTCAATACCACATATTCTCCATTAATATATTTCCGATGCAGCCCTTTCAGGAAGTCGCCAGGGTGTGTTGTTTTAAATAGGTGCGGGTACCGGACGACACCCGATTTGTCATATTAAGCCGTCCGGGTGTCCGGGCCCTGCATTCACCTGTCACCTGTAGCAGTTTCGTGTCGTCGAAGTACGGGCGTTACACTGAGCTCTCTAGACACCAGCGCTGACTGGGTGCCTTCAACTATCGACTATTCTCCATCTCACTCCGTCATCCACAGGTTCGTAGCTACTGATTTTTCTGATACGTTATAAAATTTACCCAACTCTTGTGAGAAACACAGCAAATGCAGTGAAGGAGTACGAGAACACAAATCGCAGAAAACCCCTCGTGCGCTTATACTCCCTCCACAACCACAGCTCGTATAACAGACACGCACGTGTAAACCTACATATTCGACTTTCTGCAATTCTTCGGCGGCATAATTAGCATTTGTGATTCAATATTTTTATAAACAACAGACACAATTTGCAATTTTTTTAAATTTTGCCCACGAGCGCACTTGCATGAATGAATTTATGAGCAAACTGAACACTCTTAAATATAGCTTTATTGGTATGAATATATCGAAAACTAGAGAGATGGATGAAGTTATATGTTTTAATAAAGTTACTTTTTTGTCGAAAGGAAGTCCCGAAAGCTTTATAAATTAATCCATATACGTAAGAAGTTTTGAAAAACTGACAAAACCCATCTTAAAATTTAGAACAGTGATTTAAAAAAAGTAACTTCGGAGATAGGAATATTTAAAAGGCCAAATGCAGCAAATCGTGATTATCTGAGAAGCAATCGTCACAATATTTTTATTATTTAAGGAATTAAATATCAAGTGTTTAATACGAACACGAACCTCAGTTACCTAATCGCATTTGCCTACGTGGATGTAAAGTATTAGAAGCTCATTTTGCATGAAGATAACTATAAAATACCGTCGAGAAGAAATTTTCCTACAGAAGTTGGTAATAGTTTTCAGGCATTTCAGGCCACCAATACCTGATATTTTTTAGATGAGACTTGGATGCTTCAACTTAACTATGTAACCTTCCTTAACGCGTACCTTCTCGTATACCTGTGACGTAATTCGCAATACGCCCGGCTAGCAATTGGGAGGTCCAGAGTTTGAATTCCTCAGAGGACGTGGGTGACTTTTATGTTTCCTGCTCCGTAATGAGTCTAATGTTTCTACAACTTTCTGGTACTTCTAGCTATACAGTCTAATAAAAGGCATTCCTAACAATTTATCAACAACACTGTGAATTAGTTTCCACTCAGAGATAAATGATAAGCTGTCGCTGCTCGCTGTCTACGGTTATTATGTAGTATATTAAAAACTACACGATGTTAAGTCCCTCTGAAGCCAGATGGCGCTGCCATTGTTACTGTTTACAAAAAGAATGTTAATTACTTTGGGGTTGGCTTCAATGGCGAAGCAGAGAGTGATTGTGGGAGCCTGAGCGTCTCACAAAAATTAGTATAATAAAGATAAAGATATGTTACAAAGTAGTTTGTAAATTAGTTTAATTGAGAGTTACAGTCCATTTAGAAATCGCCGGACCATTTGAGTGGTCCAGTAGAGCCGCAGAGATATCAGCTAAATAAATAATCTAGTGTAGAACAGTGAGTTTGCCATTTTGTTTCAATGGAATTTGTGTTTGTGGATTATAGCCAGTTGCTGAAAGAAAGGGGTAAGTAAAAAACCCTTGAAACTCTATTCATTATTAACTGTTGCATTTAGTAAATTCTGAATTAAGTTTGTGTGATAATTTGTTATTGATAAGTGTAGCGAAAATGGCTACGAAACTGAAAGATGTTCTCACTAAAAAGAGAACTCAAAAAACTATCTTATCGAAGTTGCAAAAGAAACTTTGTGAGCCAGATTTAAGTGTTAGTGATTTAGAATTGTTAAAAACTAAATTTAACAATCTGCAAAATGAATTTGATAATGTTTTTGATTCTATTATCAATTTAAGTAGTGAAGAAAGATACTCGAATCCTAGAGAACAAGTGTTCAAGGATGCTCAAAATTTATCAGATGCTAAAATTGAATATTGAAATCAGAGTATTCCAAACGATTATTAACAAAACGAGTCAGCTTCTGCTGATTCTAAATTTAATTGATGTTACAAGTGAAGTTGTAAGATCGTTAGAATGTTTAGAACAAAAGTTAGATGGGGTTTCATCCGCTATATTTGCCTTTATTCTTAGCCAGAAACTTGATCAGAATACTAAGTTATGGTGGGAAAGGAATTTAAAGAAAGAAAAAAAAAATACCGAACATTACAGAGTTATTAGAATTTCTAAAGGATCACGCGAGGACATTAAACGCTTCTAGAATTCCAGTAATGTCTAAATCAAAAGCTTCAGTAAGTCAATCAAAGGTTTCTTCAATGGTTTCATGTGTGACTGAAAAACGTGCTTTAATTTGTAAACTGTGTAATGTGGAACATAAATTATTTAAATGCCCTAAATTTCAAAAATTCAGCTTAAAGGATAGAGTCGAGTATGTTAAAAAGCACAACTTATGTTTCTGCTGTTTTGGAAATCATGGAGTGAGAAATTGCCCTTCAAATTACTCTTGTAGGCTATGCAGAAAAAAGCACAATTCGTTACTGTGTTATGAGCGAGAAAAAGTTTCGATTTCCCAAAATAGAGAGAGTTGCGAAATCGCCTCTCTGTCGGATCAAAAGTCAGACGCCAGTTCGTCTACGGAAGTAGCGAAACTGAACGCTCACGCAAAGCCATTTATAAATAAGGATAGCGAGTGTTTTATGACAGCTAATGTAAATAAAAATTTTAATGCAGTTAATAGAGTCCTACTATCGACAGCGATTGTTTATATTAAGGGAAATGAAGGAGAAATATTTCCAGCCAGAACATTGCTTGACAGTGGAAGTATGATTCATCTTTGTTCATCGGAATTAGCTGAGAAGCTTCATTTGCAAAGAGAAAATGTAAACGTATCAGTAGGATGTTTATCTGGGATTTCAACAACGGTGAAATCAAAAATAAGTGCGGTTATTTTAAATAGAGGAAACACATACAGTCGTAAACTAGATTTTTTCGTAATTCCGAAAATTACTCATTTGATGCCTTCTAGACAAATTGATGTCTGTAATATTGAGATTCCACAAGGAGTTACGTTAGCTGATCCAGACTTTCACAAACCGGGTAAAATTCAGTTACTTTTAGGATCTGAAATATTTTTCGATTTGATAAGATCCGGGCAAATTTATGTACCAAATACAAATTTAGTGTTACAAAACTCAGCATTTGGGTATTTGGTAAGCGGTAGCATTGAAGATTTACCACATGAGAAACAATTAATGCATTGTGGGTTAATTTATGACAATGTCGAAGCACAGTTGAAGAAGTTTTTTGATTTGGAATCAATTGGTATCAGAGATGATCCCAATTCTTACGATGAAGATAAAGCATTAGAGATATTCAACAAAACTGTTAGTTTCAAAGATGGTCGTTATATTGTTAGTCTGCCTTGGAAGAAACGTTGGGAACATTTAGGCGACAATTTTGGTGTCGCAGAAAAAAAGAATAAAAATCCTGATGAGAAAAAAATGCAGCATGATAATACATTATACCTGAAATATAGAGAAACTTTAGAAGAGTACCTAAATCAAGGGATAATAGAAAGAGTATTAGATTCTACGAAACCAGTAAACAAGCCAGTTTTTTATATGCCGCATCAGGCAGTTTATAGAGAAGAAAGCATTACAACAAAAATGCGTATTGTATTTGATGCGAGCTCACATGAAATAGGTAGTCTGTCCCTGAATGATTGTTTGTGGCCAGGTATTAATCTGAATCAAAATATATTTCACTTGCTGATATATTTTAGACTTAATAGAGTTGCAATCTTAGGAGATATCGAAAAGGCATTTTTACAGATCGTGTTAGCTGAGAAAGATCGAGATGCAGTTAGATTTTTATTTGTTAAGAATATTGATACACCTTTGCAGAATACCGACGATCAGCTAGAAGTGTATAGATTTAAGCGTGTGCTCTTTGGTGTTAATTCCAGTCCTTTTTTGTTAGCGGCAACTATAAAGCTGCATATCCAAAAGTACAGAAATGTGTATCCCGATACCTTTCAAATTCTTGATACATGTATGTATGTTGATGATCTTGTTACAGGAGCAGATGATGTATCAGAAGCCTTAAAAACTTCAAGGGAAGCAAAGGAAATTATGCGTGGAGCTGGGATGAATCTACGCAAATGGGTGACGAATGATTATCATTTAGCTAAAAAATGGGAAGAAGAAAATTTTGATATTCATCCCCTAAGCTCAAATGAAAAGATACTGAAGGTATTAGGAATTCAATGGAACATTCAGGAAGATAGTTTGAGTATAGAGACTTCTTGTTTGACGAAAATTTCGAGGAGAAAGAAAAGTACCAAACGCTTCATCCTCCAAACAGCTGGAAAAATATATGATCCTCTTGGACTCATCACACCATTCACTGTTAGAATAAAACTTTTACTACAAAAGCTATGGTTACGTAAATTACCATGGGATGAAGAGCTTCCTTCTGATTTGAACGACGAGTGGTCTCAGTGGTGTAGCGAGCTTTCAGAACTTAGTAACATTAGTGTTCCAAGATTTGCTTTGGATTCATGTGATGAAAATATAGAGATCCATGTTTTTTCTGACGCAAGTCAAAAGTTGTATGGTGCAGCCGTTTACGTAAAGGTAAAGAATCAAGAAAAAATTTCTGTGAATTTGCTGGCTTCCAAGAGCAGAGTTTCACCTGTCAAAAAAGTTTCCTTGCCTCGACTTGAATTGCTGGGTGCACTGATTGCTGCAAGATTGGGAACGGAAGTTAAAAAAGTTCTAGATCGTAAAGGTTCATCTAATATCTTTTTTTGGAGTGATTATTCTAAAGTTACACTGTATTGGATCAAAGGATCAAGCAGAAGATGGAAGTCTTTCGTTCAAAATCGCGTCGACGAGATTCAGAAGTTGACTAATCCAGATTCATGGTTTTATTGTTCAACCAAAGACAATCCATCCGATCTTCTAACGCGTGGAGTTAGTGCCTCTTCTCTAGTGAACAATTCTAAGTGGTGGACTTGTGCAGAATTTTTTACAGAGCCGCATCTTCCCTACAAGTGCTTACAACCAATAGTTCCAGAGGTTGAGAACCTAACACCAAATGAAAGGGAGTCCTTTGTGCAAGAAAGCAAAAGTTCTAGTGACATTAATGACATTTCTGAGAGAACTATGTTGATTGACATGAACTCTAACGTTTTAGACGAACTCTTGAATATTAGTAACAATTATTATAAATTATTATATTAAATTATTATAGAATAATTAATGTTCTTTCTTATATTTTTAGGTTTATATGTAATTGCAGGAAAGGTGAATCAAGAAAGGTAGGCCCTCTTCAACTAGAGGAGGTAAGAATAGCTGAGGAAATGCTTATTAAGCATGAGCAGAAGGTTCTATTTTGTAAAAAGGACATAACAGGTAACTTAAAAAATTTACATCCCTTTGTTGATCGTAAAGGAATAATTCGCGTTGGTGGCCGTCTTGAAAAAGCTTCTTTACCATTTTCTCAGAAATATCCTGCAATCCTACCAAAAAATTCTAAGCTAAGTAAGATTTATTTTTCTAGTGTGCACAGAAGATTATTGCATGTTGGCCCCCAAGGATTATTGAATGCAGTACGTTTAAAATTTTGGCCATTAGGTGGTAGAGATTTGGCGCGAAAAACAGTACATCTTTGTGTGACATGCTTTAAATGCAAACCGATTTTGTCTTCACAGATTATGGGCAATTTGCCATACGAGAGAGTTAATAGATCACCCCCATTTAGTGTTTCAGGTTTGGATCTATGCGGTCCCTTTTATGTGACTTACAAGCATCAGAGAAAGGGCGTGCTAAATAAAATTTACATTTGTGTATGTATATGTTTTGTGACACGAGCTATTCATCTTGAGCCTTTGTCAGATTTAACTTCTAGTGCTTTAATTGCCACTCTTAAGCGTTTCATGGCCAGACGTGGCAAATGTGCGAAAATATTCACTGATAATGCCCCTAATTTTGTAGGAGCAAATTCTCTGTTGAAGAAATTTTACAATGTAATTAATTTTCCTGATAAAACTTTGGCCTCATATTTCACGTCCGAAAGAATAGACTGGAACTTTATACCTCCCAAGTCCCCTCATTTCGGAGGGCTATGGGAAGCCGGTGTAAAGTCCGTAAAGTATCATTTAAAGAGAACGATAGGAGATTTGCGTTTTACATATGAGGAGTTTGAAACTATAATTGTGCAGGTAGAGGGAATACTAAATTCGAGACCTCTTACACCTATTTCCAATGATTTTGATTGTTATGACGTTTTGACCCCAGGTCATTTTTTAATAGGGAGATCAATACAGACGATTCCGGAGCCAATGATAATAGACGTAAATGAAAATCGGTTAAGCCGGTGGCAGAGAACAACGAAAGTAGTTCAAATTATTTGGAAGAAATGGTCAAATGACTATTTAGGAACTCTGCAGCAGAGAAACAAGTGGATGATAGAGAAGGACAATATTTCTGTTGGTACTATGGTACTCGTCAAGGAGGATTATCTCCCAATTTGCAAATGGATATTAGGTCGGGTTATTAAAGTCTATCATGGATCTGACAATAAAGTAAGAACGGTTAAAATCAAAACAAAATCAGGAGAATTAAAAAGAGCGATAACAAAGATCGCCGTTCTTCCGATAGAAAACTGAAATGATATTTTTGCATATGTATTGTATTGTTATAGTATTGTAATAGCTGTAGTTATAGTAATAGTATATTATGTTGTTTATAAGTATATTAAGTTTGTTTAAGAATGTAGAATGTTTGTATAATTTCTTGAAATTTTGTAATTTCAATCCGGGGGAGTGTTAAGTCCCTCTGAAGCCAGATGGCGCTGCCATCGTTACTGTTTACAAAAAGAATGTTAATTACTTTGGGGTTGGCTTCAATGGCGAAGCAGAGAGTGATTGTGGGAGCCTGAGCGTCTCTCAAAAATTAGTATAATAAAGATAAAGATATGTTACAAAGTAGTTTGTAAATTAGTTCAATTGAGAGTTACAGTCCATTTAGAAATCGCCGGACCACACGATTCATTGAGCTTTGAATAACGGGAAAACAAAGCAGGATAGTTCTGCCTAAGAGAAGGAATGCTTTCGAGGAGAGGTTTTAAGGGAAACTGGCACATATTTGTCTTTCACAAAGAAAGAAACTAAAATTCAATATACTAACTTATTCAAGTAGCTGGAAAAGGACATCGAGTGACGCGGCCATCCAAAGCTGTTAACTTCAGAACTACGCTGCCTACTTGGAAATACTCATGGGTTATCCAATCGCATTGCTTTATTAAATAACTTCAGCCCTAGTATTATAACCTCTTTTTCTCAGAAGTTTCAGCTGTATTTTTCTATGTATCTGAGTTGGTATAATATTCCATTACATAGGAGTTAGATTGAGTGATCCGAAAGCTTTTGCAAGAACATAAAGTATCATATTGATTTGAGTATCTGTAACTGTTGTTCAGGTTAATTATCTGAAATACTCAGAATAATTAAATTTGGCAACTTTATCTTGCCATCGCGAAATTCTGTTATTAGCACTATTGCTATCAATTGTCCAGTTTTGTTAAATTTGAAACTTTCGTTAGTAATATTGGAATGGCAAAACCTAATACTAGAATCTGAAATTTAACTTTTGAATTGTAAATAATTTATTTCATCATTATCCGTCAATCAGGCCCCCCCCAAAAAAAGTTAATTTTATTAGTTGTGTTATTTTTGCAGTTTATGCTGAATTCAAACCGTAGATCATAGAGAATGATTGTTCATCGGACTTAACAACTACTTAATATTTTTACCTGTAGCTGAATGGCTCTTTCCCCATTCACATTAATTATAAAATGAGCTCATATGTGCCGTCATTTAGACGAGGAATGGAAGCTATTCGAGTAAAGTGATAACAAATAGAACGCTTTTGAGTTTGTAAAAAGAGCATAAGAAATAAAAAATCTTTGAAAAGTAGAACACTAGAGAGAATTTTAAGGGTAAAATTGTTGTTAGACGCTATAATAGAAGTACTAATATGACAGAAAGTACATGAGGCAAAGAAAATGAACAATGGTTACATGAACTATCTTCAAATAGTATATACAATCTACGCTAGGTCCATACAAGCCCTTAGCCGTCCTTTATTTTTGCAACCATTGGTAGTAGACATATACTTCCAATTTCAGATATGCTTTAAATGGCACAAATATGTATGATTTGGCGATTTTAAATTTAAGAAATTCAATTTTGTAAAGATTTCGAAATTTGACATTTTATACTGTATTGTCCTGGTCCTATACTTATACTTACGAAAATTAAACTTATTATAAATTATAAAATGCAAAATATGTGATACCTGTACGACAAAAACTGACCAAGCTATTTCATTTTAAAGTTGGAGATCATATTCAGGGGCCATACACAAATTGAAGAATGAAGTGTTTGCATTTGTACGTAACTAAGTATAAAACATCTGTTTTAAAAAGGTTTTTGTTTCTGGACTTAATAGATTAAGTAAGCCCTATGAAGACTGTCATAAAGAGTATCAATCAATATCATTTTTTTTCAAAAATGTGACCTTATTAACAAAATGTTACAGATTTCCTGTTTTAGAAAACATTGGGTGGCTTCAGTAACGCCATACAGCCTGCTCATAACTTCATTCACATAAATTTAATATAAAAAATGTTTTTAGTTTTTAGTTTAATTTATTATTTATTATTATAAATTTGATCCTTAGATTACGATTCCAAGATAAAAGATTTCATTAGAATATTAATCCTGTATTTTTAGCATTCATTTGAAAATTCAAAAATTAGTAATTAAAAATTATTTCAATAAATTACTTGAGTGAAAATTCATTCAGTTCACCATTTATATCAAAATTGTAAATAAAAAATGTTACACGCTAGTAAACCACAAAAGAAACCCAATGAATGGCAGTGCAGAGGGGAAACTAAACCATTAATTATTCTAATTTACTTATTAGTCGACCCCTCAAGGCTAATTGAAAATGATGCAAATATCCCAAATTTTAAAATTAAGTATTTTGGTCAGTTTTGTCGTATCGGAGACAAACTTTTATTTTTTATATAAGTATAAAAATGTTCCTAAATATAAGCTTAGGGTTAGGGTGAAAGCATAAAAAGCTACATTTCCTAATTTTAAAGAACTGAATTTTTTTTTAATAAAAGATATCAAAATTGCGCCATTAATTTTTTTTTTAATTAGAAGTAGTGAGAACGCCTCACTTAGCGAACATTTCAGTTCACGAACAAATTATTAGAACAGAAAACACCTGGCATGATAAACGGTGTCTCGACTTACGAACACTCAAATCGTGTGTTCAAAGGTGTTTCGAGGTAGCCTCTGACACAGAATTAACACTGGGGGCTTTTGGAAACATTACTTTAATATTTTCCGTTGGTTAACTCCCATTAACAAAGCCGAGAGTAAGTGCTTTACAGAAGCATAAATTTGGCCAAAAAAAATTATGGCCAGATTGAGTTGCAGGGAGAGACTTCAGTTCTTAGATACTTAGGATGTTTTCTGTTATATATGATATTCAGTTTCTAGACAAAACAACGGGCTCGTAAGTTAAAACGAAGGGGAGTAGTTAGTAGAGAGTGACAAAAATGAGCTTAGCAAGCAAGAACTACAGCAAATGTAGAAGTACTAGCAACAAAAGGCAATTGTGGAAAAAATTGTGTCAGAAGAAAAAAAATATCCTTGTTCTCTGACGGTCGAAATTTGTACAAAGATAAACGTAGATAAAACGTAGCAATACTTGGTGACTACAGCATTAGCATTTTCAATACCAGTGCGACGTCTAACTTGTACTTTAGAAACGTTATAAAACGCAGGCAACAACAAATCACATTTGGCAAATTTTGATATCTGTCTAAGGAGTTAAGCTATCTAACGAGGTTAAGCTGTTTTTAAGGACTCACACACATTCGAGTGGCGCTTAGAAGTAAAGAAAATGTGAAATAAAATGCCTCTTAAAGATATTTTTGGGAAATAAAGTTACGGTTCCCAGCAACAGCATCTTTTCCACTTATGCCGTCCACTTCTTTTTATGACGTGCAGTTTGGTTTGGGTTATTTTGATTATGGTAAAGCACACGAGGGCTATCTGCCAAAAAGAAGAGATGCCTTCGTGGAGAACTTTCTAAGAGAAATTGGCTCGTATCAACGGTATACATGCGGAAATCCACGAAGATGTCTATGCAGCCAGCCCGTTCACTAGAAACCGAACCCAAGCACATATATAGTAAAATGAATTTTCATCCATTTTACCTGCTTAATATTGTATTTATAT